CTCATTCCTAGGACTGGCTAACTACTACAGGAAGTTTGTGAGGAACTTCTCCATGATCGCTGCTCCCCTTGAAGTTCCTAGACTTCTGAAGAAAGAGACTATCTGGAAGTGGGACCAGGATTGTACGCCAGCCTTCAAGAGATTGAAGAAGACTTTGATAGAGTACCCTGTCCTCAAAGTCGCTGATCCATCTTTACCATTTGTTGTTACTACAAACGTGAGTCAATATGGCATAGGTGCCATTTTACAGCAAGATGACGGCAACGGTTACAAGCCCGTAGAGTTCATGTCAGTCAGGCTGCCCTCAGAGAAAGTTGCAGCATCGACATATGAGAGGGAACTCTACGCTCTCAGGCAGGCCTTAGATCACTGGAAACACTACCTGCTTGGGAGACACTTCAAGGTTTACTCAGACCACGAGACACTTAGATGGCTAAAGACACAGGCCAAGATGGCGCCCAAATTGACTAGATGGGCTGCTGAGATAGACCAGTATGACTTTGAGTTGAAACCCGTCAAAGGTAAGTATTATGTGGTAGCTGATGCGCTAAGTAGGAGATCTAATTACTTCAGCGCAATAGTGCATGACGTAGACATAGGGGTTGATCTGCAGCAGAAAGTGAGAGATGCCTATGCACAAGACCCGATCTACAGTGAGCAGCTGAAAAGAGTAAGGGAAGCCCCAGATAGTGAGCCACACTACCGGACCACGAACGGGCTACTATTCGAGAAGACCAACATCACTGACAGACTATGTGTCCCCAATAATGAAGAAATCCGCCGCCTAATTCTAAGGGAATGCCATGATACAGAAGGACACTTCGGATGGCAGAAGACCTTAGCTAACCTGATGATGTCATACACGTGGCCAGGAATGAAAGCAGACTGCATAGAGTATGTGCGCAACTGCAAGGTGTGTCAGCGTAATAAGACTACAACCAGAGACCCTTTAGGTCTTCTTAGACCCTTGCCTATTCCATTAGGACCCGGAGATTCTGTTTCTGTTGACTTTATGGATATTGGGGTCAAAAGTAGGCACGGCAAGACTCAAGTCATGGTCATAGTGGATAGATTTAGCAAGTATGCAGTATTTGTTCCCCTGCCTTCAGAGGCACGTACAGACTTAGTCATTAGTAAGTTTTTCGATTTCTGGGTAAGCGAGCATGGCATGCCGTTGTCCATAGTCAGTGATAGAGACACGCGGTTTACTAGTCAGAATTGGGAGGATCTTATGAAAGTCTATGGGTCTAAGTTGTTGATGTCGTCAGGACGACACCCAAAGACTAATGGCCAGACAGAGCAGATGAATAAGATCTTGCAACAACTACTTAGAATGTATATTATACCAGATCAGATAAACTGGGATGAGATGCTTCCCAAAGTAGCAAGTGCCTACACAAACAGTGTTCATCTAGCTACCTGCAAGACTCCTAACGAGCTACATAAATCCTTTAGACCAAGGTGACCGTTTGAAGGACTAAATCGGGACCAGAGACACAGACTACCACCCGACACACGAGAGTTTGCGTTACAGCATGAGCAGGAAGTCGCTAAGGTCATAGATAATCTGAGAAAGGCCCAGCATCGGATGATAGAGCAAGCTAACAAGCACCGCCGACCTTCACAGTTTCAGGTGGGCGATCGAGTCTCGGTCAAGTCAAAGGAGTTCGCACCTGAGGAAAACATCTCGCAGAAGCTCTTACCTGTGTATAGAGGACCGTGGCCTGTCCTAGAAGTCAAAGGAGGAGAGGACGACCCGTCATATACTATAGAGATTCCAACACACCTCCACACGTACCCAGTCTTCCATGCGTCTAAGTTGTTACCCTGCACTACATCTGACAGATTCCCTTCTAGGAGATCGATGATTCCGCCAGACATGGATGGTGCATATGATATAGATCACATAGTGGAAGAGGACGTGTTTAGGACAAGAGGTTGAGGTCATCCCCAGAAGCAGTATAAAGTTCGGTTCGCATACCAGGAACTCGAGGACGACCGATGGTTCACAAGAACAGAGCGTTTGGAAACCGCTCCCGACATGGTTGACCTGACATTGCGGTCAGAGAGACTTGTGCCACAACCCTATCCATTGAACCCATGGGTTGAGTGAGATTCGATCCCTAGACCTACCCTATACCTGTACATAGACCCTGTGTGTTGAGTAGGATTCGATCCCTAGACCTATTCCATATCCCAGATTAGTCTGTAGTTTGGGCAGTAGGACTTGATCCCTATGTCGGTAGATTAGCACCTAGGTCTGTTACCGTTAGGCCTAGGAAGGTCTGTTCTAGAAGTCTCTATCTGGGTCTACTGAGGCCTAGAGTCTGTCTGTAAGTTTGTAGGCTCTAGAAGGTCGTAGGTCCCTGTAGGCCAGTCCAGTCAGCAAGTACCAGGGGTACGGGCTGCACGTGGGGAAGGTTCTGGACCCCGCTGTGGGTTCCACACGTTTTGGCCCAGAAGGCCAAACGTCTGGAAGCTTCCCAGGGCCACACGTTTTGACCCTGGCCCACACGTTTTGAGGCAGGCCCGGGTACCTCCGAAGAAGTATAAATAAAGGGGCAGCATCCAGCCATTCATTCCTTCGCCTGTGTGCGATGCGGAAGAGCTGCCTTGGTATCTTGTGCGTGGACTGCAGGTGCCCGGAGAAGAAGTGGGCTGTGAAGAAGAGAGCGGCCATAGCGAACCAGCGGGAGAGGGACACCGGCGGCCATAGCTAGGAGGAGGAAGACGACGGCGGCCATAGCCGCCCAGCTGCTGGTGCAGACAGGGTATACAGAGTGTGTGTGTCTGTGCAGCATGGACATTCAGGGGGATCGTCGTACGTGTGTGCATGTGAGGGTGATGAAGAGTGAGGCTGGTGGTAGACAAAGTGTTCAGCGGCCATAGCCGCAAGTTGTACAGTTGTTCTGAACAGAGTTTATAAGCAAGTTCGTTGTTGATTCTGAGTTCGCGGGTTTGGTTTGCCATCGGTTCTCATGTGTGCATGTTGTGAGCAAGTCCAGAGTCGAGTCTGATTGCAGACGGTTCTGCAAAGAGGAAGTACCAGACCAACAGGCAGAAATACTTTTCAAAAAGACACTGGGAAACGAAATCGGGGCAGACTGGAGAAGAAGAATGCTCACAAAGGAAATTCAAAAAGACAAGAGCGGTTCAAAAGAACGTGGGCTCGCTTCAGTCTCAGAAGATGGAAAGCTGAAACTGACACCATGGTTTGATCAAACGGATAGAGCATCTTGGGCAACAGCTGGAGAAAGGTCCTGCAGTAATAGTAGAGAGAGCACTCGTAGGGGGAGACATTAGGGCAAAATGTATTTTGCTGGGCCGTTGGTGGGCTTTGGTCCGAGAAGGTCGAGTTTGTTTTTATAGGAACAATCAGGTCCACTCGGTTGCAGGTTCGCCGCAGTAAGCATCACAGGGATGGAGGGAGGAAGAGTGGCATGCTACTCAGGAACAAGAATGTTCCAACCGGCCGAATAGGCTGGTGTTCAGACCGGAAATAGGTCTGTGAATTAGACTAGGAATAGGTAGAACAGGTAGAATAGCTAAGTAGGTAGCCTGGGGTAGGTATTGCTTCATTCTTTGGGAAACTGAAAATCCTTCAATCATAAGTGGAACTGGCTAAAGCCAAGCTAAACCGGCTGATGCTGCCGGGATAACTCCGGGTTAAATTGTGAAGACCCCCCCCCGCCTCTTATCAGGGTTACCTTTTTTTTTTTTTTTTGAACTTTGGAATGGAATTGAATGTGGTATTAAAAAAAAAAAAAAAAAAAGGTAGTCGCAAGTGGGTCCTAGGCCCAGGGCAAATTCCTATCCGACGACCTTGAACACAATCTCCAACCTATTTCGGGGCACAACGGACCCTGACAAGCCCCTTGCGACCCTGACCAGCCCCTTGCGGCCAATGCGCTATAGAAGGTAGGTTTCTTGGAACGAGATTTTTTTTTTTTTTTTTTTTTTGTTTATTTTAAGGGGTAATTTTCAAAATACCCCCATAAGTTGAGATATGGGCCAAAATGCCCCTAAAAGATGTGGTAGAGGGGAATGCCCCTCTGACAGAAAAATATATTTTGTGAAATGCCCCTATTGTTGGTTGGACGCCCATCTTTGCAATATACGCCCATCTTTGCAATATACCCCTACCAGGGACCATCCAACTTTGCAAAATGCCCCAGGATTTGCCAACTTTCCTAGGCGCTAATGCAAAAGGCCGAGTACAGAACGGGGAGGTCCAGATTGCAAAGTTGCATGCCCGCCTGACAGGGGCACAACACAAAGATTTCGGCCCAAAAGGGCATTCCGCTCTACCCACAGCTTTCAGGGGCATTTTGGCAGATATCTTAACTGATGGGGATATTTTGCAAATTACCCCAAATTTTAATTATTTTCCACTCTTTTTGTTCCCAGGCTGACCACTCCTTTTTGGGCGTGAAACGCGGTCTAGCAGTTCGTTTTTCCAGATCGATCCCCGAATCGGGAACTTTGCGAAGGGATAGGCCGACAGGTAATTTCCCCCGAGGTAATTTTCCCCGCGGCGCATCCCGCGTCGTGGCGGTCATCTCGTGCATGCCAAACGAACAGAGAGCGCAAGCCATCGGGAAAACGCCACGTGTCAAGTCTGCTTCATCCATCGTCCGCCATGACGACGCTGATAAATAGCACACGTGTCATTCTCTGACAGGTGCCACTTCGTCTCATCCCCATTGCCACACAGGTTGGTCCCAGAAGCCGTCACGTCCGTCACACACGTGCGAGGTGGATGCCACAGTCAAGATTGGCGCGCACGGAGAGTAGTTAGTTGACGGTGTGGCGTTGAGTTCCGACTCGCTGGGAAGCGCGGGGCTATCCTGACACCGGTCGGGACAATGGCAACTGCCATGGTGCCGCAGTGTCTGGCTGGGGTGCATGCGTCATCAGCGACGTGTCCATCTGATTCGCCGTTGTCATCGCGGAGCGCGACTCAGCGACGTGTCGTCAGCCGCTGTGTGGTGTCTGTGGAATTTGGAGACAGAGAGACCGAGAGCGACTCCTACGCCTGCTCGTCGTCTTCGTCCTCTTTGCTGCAATCGGTGCCATGGTGGAGGAATGCCGGAAGCTCGCGTCAGTTGGCTATGGCGTCGGGGGCGATGATCGGCGCAATCTCGAGCTTCGTGGAAGAGAAGGAGGCGGCGGCGGCGGAGGAGGAGGAGGACGAGGGGGAGGAGGAAGGGGGGGGGAAGGGAGAGGACTTGCGCTCAGCACAGCAGAAGGGAAGCGTATCGAGGCGCGGAGCTGGTCTCCGGGTTTCTGCCATGTGTCTTTCTCTGCTGTGGCAAGGGAATACGAAAGCCGCGAAAGCCGGCCCCAACACGTCGCCCAGTGTCGGGACATACCTTCCTTCGGCCGGGGTAGGAGATCTTGTCGTCTTCCGGCCGTCGAAGACGGAAACTCCCGCTATAAGAGCAGGTAAATAAAAAAATGTCGTGCATCATGCATGCGTGCACGTGCATGCATGCCTGGTTGCATATGTTGCACTATAGCAGGTAAATAAACAAATAAGGTCTTGCATCCATGCATGCATGCATACGCATTCCTACATACGTGCATGCATACGATGTGGTTGCATTTGCGCATACATGCATGCACGCGTGGTTGAATGTGTGCATGTAGGGTGCATGCGCGCATGCGTCTTGCTGACCTTCTTCTGTTGGGCTTGTCCCTGTCTTGTTTGTTTCTGATGTCGCGGCAGGCCCTAACATCACTATTCGTTCATTATTGTATAATTAATAAAGAAGAATATCATTAAACAGTCAATAACGTCGAGATACGTACCAATCCACAAGCGTCAAACGTAGCTTGCTGCTTTCCCATTACGCTTGCATGTTTACATTCATCGGGGGATATACATTAGGACTTTTTCGACGAATCCAGCGGGAATTGCGGTCAAATTTGCCCAGGCAAGTCCACGTGTATGAGTAAGCCCTTTTATGCACATGTAATGTATTACTGTATCCATATACGTCGGTATGGGCGTATCCTCACTCTTTTTGAAGTACTTTTTTCGATAAGTACTTTTTTCGAACGTTGTTCGTTTTCCGCTTCCGTTCTTGTGATTTGCGTGAAGTACCGTTATCGGTGTCATCATTTCCATTTTTTTTGGTTTTGTTTCTTTTTCCCTCCGTTTCTACGGATAGCGAACCATCCCTCTTTGTTTTTTGTCTTTTTGGAAAATAGCAAGACTATATTCCTCACAATAATATGATAGAGGCTAGCTCAAAGTGTGTGACCCCACGCGAGGTCTGAGATGCATCCGGAGCTGCGCATCCAGCGGTTGTTCCCAGGTGTATAAAATACTTTTTGTTTTTTGGTTCAAGAAAGGTGCTCAAAAATCCTTCCGCCCGTATACAAAGCCCCCTACCCTGCCCATCTTTCTTTGAACTACATAACCCACTTGGAGTGGGGTATGGGTTCGACGGTGCTTGTGCCATCATGACCTTCTGTGGGAGGACACTCTGACGGCCGTGGGAGGACACTCTGACATTCTGTGGGAGGACAGTCTGACATCCATGGGAGGACAGAGTGTTCATGCTGTGCAGCCCCAAACTCTTTTCTGGGAAGGCACCAAGCCAGGCTTACTGTCTACGTTCATTTCATGTTGTAGTGAGTCCCTGTCTCCCAGGTTGCGTAGTATGCGGAGCCTTTCACTGAGGATTGTTGTATTTTCCATTGTAATTTTGAGAAAATATGAACAAAGATTTCAGTAGCATTTGGTTATTCATTTTTCTTTGGGAAATAGGGGAAAAAAAGCTGTCAGCAGCATTTGATTCTCCATTTTTGCCTTTGTTTTCAGTTTTTAAGTCGCAAAAACCCTGTCACACTGTTGAGTTGAGCTAGTTCAACGGTGCATGTGGGACTGGGGGGCCAAGTCCCACTAGCAGCGTTGAGCTACCTCAACGCCTGAATCTGGACGTGTTTGTGGAGACGTGCAGTTCAGGAAACTCAACACCATTTCTGCACATCTCTGCAGACGCGTCCAGATTCAGGCGTTGCGGTAGCTCAACGCTGCTAGTGGGACTTGGCCCCGGGGACCTCACAATTCAACCCGGAGTTATCCTGGGGCCATTACCCAGTTTAGGCGGGTAGTACCATCCCTCCTTGTTTGTTTGTTTGTTTGTTTGTTTGTTTGTTTTGCCCAAGGGTTATGATTAAAAATTAAGAACCTGAGGTCGGGGTCCTCACAGTCTACCCGGAACAAGAATCCAATCCTTTTACTTACCCAGGTTCGCTTTTTACGGGACCTCCGGGGACCCGACCCAAAACACGTCACCGCCCAACTACTCTGGCCTAACGGGCTTACAAACCATGCGCTCCTTTCGTCCTCCTCTACTTTACGTACACTATCTTTCAATACCTCACCACACCCTAACATCTACTTAGTTACTACCTGAACTGCACTCATCCCATCCAATAGTCTTCTAGAATGTCTCCAGCGAACCTAATGTGGTTCTACACTTTCTCCTTCCAACTCTATGCCAGTACGTCCACTCCCTTTGAACCTATTGTGGCTCTAAGTCTGCTCTTTCTGTTCCCTGTAACAACCAGGGAGTAAGCCTGAGTTTGCCTTCTGGGTTGATAGATGTAAGTTTACCCTCCAGTGTCCAGGTATTTCTGAACCATATCAGTCTTTTCTTCTGGCTCCCCTTCACACTCTGCCAATCTGCATAAATTGCCCTCCTCGGCTGGGTGAGGACTCTGCTAGTCTGTTCTGCGAAGGTTTGTGGTTCTTTTCTGAAGACCGTATCATGCCTGGCACTCCAAATAACTTGCATTAGCACTCCCCTACTTACGAGTGCCACATACCCCCAACCTCTTTCCAAATCCTGATCTTCTCGGCAGAGCCCATGCAGAATCCACTCGTGAGTCCACTGCAGATTATCCCCTGCCAGATTCTGCCAATGTGTTTTCCACCACAGCCACAACTGACTGGCTAAAGGACAGTATAGCCACAAATGGCTACCAGTCTCCCAGCCCCAGTTGCATCTGGGACAGGATTGGCACCACATTAAACTCGCCTGTTTTTGAGAAGGGATCCTCTTGAGAGCTTTCCACAACTTCGGGAGATTTAGATTACCGCGTTGGAAACCTGGCTCTTTACCCAGCCTCTCTGCCACTACTACTACGGCCTGTTGTTTCCTGGCAGGTTGTAAGATCCTGACTCCCACTCTAGTTTTGTAGAGTCGGACAGGGAGGAAAGTCCCCGCCTTTACGACATCTGTAGCGGACCTCTGGTTGGCCTGTGAGACCAGCCCCTTGGCCTGTTCTCACAGGCCTGTGTTGTATTCGGGGTAGTCCAGTCCAGGCCGGTACCTCTGTCGGTACCAGCCAGTCCAGTCCAATCCCGTCAGTCCGTTGGGGTATACCCCAGCTGTTGTTTGTTTTCAGGATCATTCTGCATTCGCACAGTTTGGAGTACGTGCGTTGGAGTCTGGTGTGGGAGCTACGCTGTGCCATCTCGCTCCCCCTTCTTCCTTCATCTCCATCTCTGTCCCAGGCGGAGCACCACACCTGGTGGGTCCGCCACACTGGTATCGGAGCGAGAACGTTCCCTGCGCCCACCCACCACCCCTCACAGCAGGGAAAACAGCAAAACCCGATACCACGGTTTTTGGCTGTCTTTGGGGCGGATTTTGACGAAAACGAGGGAAAACAAACGCTGTAGCAGGAGAGCGACACGTGGCGGAAAAAGCACATGTTAAGGCCAAGGCCGCCGCACGCGCGCATGCACCCACGCTGCCCCGCCCCGCCCCGCCCCGCCCTTGGATTATATTATCAAGATCCGGGATTTCGCTGCTGCCGGGGTTTGAACCCGGGCAGCTGCTGGGCTTGCGCGTGCGTAGCTGCCCTTGTAACACACTCACCATACTGTCTATATGGCTTTGTAGCGTGACACGCTGCTGTTGAAGAGGTGCGTGCGAGCTATTTACCTCCCCCCCCCACCGTCTGCGAGCAGCGGCCAGCAGGGCAGCAACGGTGGCTCTGCTATTTACCCCCCCCCCCTCCCCCCGTGGTTGCTGCTGCCTGCGGACGTGGCTATCTGCAGTGCCACGTGGAAGCCTGCTCTGAAGACTGAAGACCCCCCTGGCTAGGGGGTTGTGCCACATTATTATTATTATTATTTTTTACTATTTTTCTACTGCTGCATCAGCAGTTTCGCAGCAGCTCAAGATTTCCCCCCTGGCTAGGGGGCTGTGTGACTGTGGCAGTAGGGTGGTTGATCAAGATCTCAGTCAACCCTAGATCATCATCATCATCTTTTTATTGCTGTGGCATCAGGCTAGCAGCACCTTGAAGGCCAAGATCATGTGCATCTTGGTAGTGATTTGCTCTTGGCCAACCAAGAGCCTGGTATTATCCTCTCCACTAACCTACTCTCCCCCAACCCGTTTTCTCTTCCCCCCCATCATCTACTCATCCTTTCTAACTCTACTACTACCTCCCTCCTCCCACCTCCCTCTTCACTCATCTCCAACCATCTTTTTCACTCCTCTCCTCCCGACTCACCATCTTCTACTAATCTCATCTCCCCCATCTCCCACTTCACTCCTCTCTCTCTCACCTATTTCTCTCTTCTTCATCACTCTTTCATCCCCTTGCCCCACCTTACTTCGAATTTTTCTGTTTTTCTTCTTTTCCCTTTCTGTTTGATTTAAATCTTCTCTTTTCTTCACAAATTCGAATTATCTTATTCCCCCCCCCTTCCGTTCTCCTTTTTTGATTTATTTATTATTATTATTTTTTTTTTTGAAAATTCAATTTTCTTTGCGGCACCCTTAAAGGAGTTGGTCTTTCTTGCTTTCGGCACTCATTTTGACCCCGCGAGGGTAACGAAGTGCTGCTGAATATTTTTGTTTTTCTTTCACTTCGTCTTTTTCGGCACATTTCGACCTCATGGGGGTAATGAAATGCTGCCGAATTTTTTGAAAAATCAGATACTTTATTTGTCTCCAACTCCTCATCCACTTATTTACTTATTTATTTATTTATTTATTTATTATTTTTTGAAAATTTTAATTTGTAGCATTTTGAAACCTAGTGTGCTTATCTTGGTTTCTCCTTTCCCCTTGGCACATTCTTGACCCCATGGGGGGTAGGGAAATGCTCCCGAAAATTCTAAAACAATAAATATTATTTCTCTCTTCATATTTTGTTTCTTTTTTTTTTTTAATTATTTTTAGTATTTATTTATTTCCTTATTTATTTTTATTTTCTCTCAAAATTTCGCTGTTTATCTATTTTTTCTCCCGCCTTCCCCCCCCAATGATTGCTATTTTATTTTCTTGATCAGGTCACCGGTACCCTACCCTAACCGCTCAAAACTCCGGTTAGGGTTTTCTAGGGTTTAGGGTTTTTCTAACCCCTTTACTTTCCCTTCTCATTTGGTCACCCTGGGTCCGAACCACCCCTCC